CGTAACGAAGAGCTACGTAGAAATTGCCGAGAAGCTAGGCTACAACGTGGGCTACAACCTGGTTCGTCGCAGCCTCGAAAAAGAACAAAAACAGGCTACAAAAATCGCAGAGAAAGGATCTCGGCAGAAACACAACCAAGACGAGGCTTGCACAGCGTCACAAGCCAGCAGGGGACCCTTCTTATAGCCCCGGTAGGCTGTAGCCCTGTCCTCATGCAAATGATGACAATTTCTTGCAAAATAAATATTGTGTGTTTTCAGTCCGAACATTGTGTAGGTGTACTGTACATGCAAGGACAACATTATTGTTTAATTTTTGTGCATTCCTTTCACTTGCAACTCACTGTACCGACCAAAAAGTTAAAAAAAAATCTCCTGCTGCATCAATGACCATGTCATAGTTTTGGAACAAGCTTTGACAAATATTTTGGGAGACTACAGTCATAAATTTAGCATGGTCATTATCATATAATATAGAGCTACAAAACAGTGTCATTTATATTGTCGTAGCTTCACTTTAGCAAAAGTTACAGTTGCTGGAATCTTCAAATGCATTTTTCTCTGTTCGTTGTTTTTGCACATTTCACTCCGTCTTACGGGGGTTTTTCCCATGTTATATTTTAGTGAAAGTGACAAAGTTGGTATAATTTTATTGGTCTTGAAATGATCCAGGGAGTGGTGCTATTTTCATTTCTCTAGAGCCACTTTACAAATTACAATTAAAGATAACTATGAGAAGAAATTATAGTAAAATATTTATCATAATGTTTGTCTGTTTTCATGCCTATAAAATGCTTTCAAATGGAAAAAAATGGCATCACCCCCTACAGCAAGTCTTCAGCATCGGCGTTATGCATTTACTTGTTCATTTTTCTAAGGGGAAATTGCCAAAAAGTCCCATAAGAGATAGGCAATAATAAAATTCAAACCCTAATATTTCCTGAACCAATTGAGCTATTATGAAACGAATTACAGATTTGAAATAAGCATGGAAAACTACTTTCGATAGTGACGTTTAGTTGAGATTGAGTTAAAATTTAAAAAAAAAAGTTTTTAGGACCCACATCTTTGCTTAAGTCACCATGCTGGACCACAAAAAGAGAGACCGTATTCTGTAAACTCTGTGGGGAAAAAAATGCATGGCTAACACTAAATCATTGGTGCCTTTGTAGCATCATAAAATAAAACATTTTTGTTTGCTTTCATCTCGTAGACACAGATCCCACACGTATATCTTCATAAATTTAAATTTTGTCAAAGTTTATTTTGCTTATATTTGTGATTTTGAGGGCCTAAAACAGTGTCTTGTCCGCCTAGTTTTTGCACCTCAAACCCAGTTTTTCAGTGCCTACAAATCCATCCTTACTCATGACTCTAAATGTCTCAAAATGTAAGATAATGTTCTTCACACGTAAACCTAGCAGATAGAAATTTTCGTACAGCATTAATCAATCCATTCTATCGGCTGTAGTGCAATATCGGTACTTGCGTGTTATAGTGGCTCCTAAACTATCGTGGTCTGATCACATTAGAGCAATATCTTCCAACACTTCCAGATCCCTAGGTTTCTTGAGACGCAACTTAAAGCTGCACCTTCAGGCATTTGCAAATGATGTTACTTGACACTGGTTCACTCTCAACTAGAATATGCCTGTTCCATTTTATCTCCCCCGTCAAAAATACTCAATTCATACATTGGAAGGAATCCAGAATAGAGCAAGCTGCTTTGTTGCCAATAACTACAGTCCCCATTCCAGTATATCACATATAAAGCAGGAACTTTCTCTTCCATGTCTTAAACAGCTGAAATGCAAAAAGGTAACAACATCGTTGTTGTTTTCTTAATCCGTTGTTACTTTTTTGGGCTTCAGCTGTTTAAGGCACGGAATACCAACTAGCTCGCTCCCATACCTTGCTTCGCTTCTACTCTTGAACATTCGTCGCGACATTGCCTTGCTGTCATTCTTTCATAAAATCACCCACTCCTCCCGAATCACTGTTAGTGGTCTGTAAAAATCATATCCCACCTCACGTAGACTACACAATTATCTTAGGTATTCTCGTATACTATGGCTCAACAAACGTGTTCAATAAGTTCGTGCTCCCACGTGCCATTCTTCTCTGGAATAGTTTGCCTGACCAAATTTCTGCCATGACAAACCATGATACATTCCGTCATATGATATCGAGCCTCTTCACAAACTTAAGAGAGTAAATACCTCATCATGGTGCAAAGATCAATTTTGGCAACTTTTGACCTTACAGTATCATCATTGTAAACTACTGATATGTTACGTCAGATAAGCTCGTTCTGAATGACAGTCATGCAGCTTCTTGTCTCTTTTCTTTTTCTTCACGCAGGAAATGTGTCATTTTTTTATTATTATTCTTGCGTGGTATTAGTTTTTATTTTGTTCATTTCCTAAAGTATGAACTCTTGTTTAAGATAGTCACAGTTATGTGCACGAAGACTGTGCCTTGTAATCGTTCCGTTTCTTGTGCCCAAGAAACGCACGCTTTCGTTTACTGTTCCCAAGTGTGCATCTTTTTACACTGTGCATACTGAACTGTAATGCAGTTTTATTTAACCTATTATTTTGCAATTGTTTCTTCTGTATTTTTTCTAATTTTATATGTAAATGTACATATATTTTGTGTATTGCACCCCTTACTCAATGCCCCCCTTAGAGGCCTGTAAGGTACCTTGAAATTAAAAAAAGTTAAAAACGTCTGTTGTAACAGTATACTTAGACTTTACATACTCCTTTCACAACCACGACAGACTGAACTTCTCTTTGCTGTGGATGCTTGTTGTAATGAGATTATACTGTATGTCTTCCATTGCCATTCTGTAATGATGTCGCTAAATCTATCTCTGGCAATCAGCTGTTGCTACTATCACCACAAACTTGGTTTTTCTTTTATACTCGTGTTTTGCAAAGCTGCTTTCTGAATAATGTCACAGTGCCATGAACTTCTGTGCAATAATCAGTTCATTATTACCACCTGAAAAATGGTGAAATATCAAGGTATCCAAGCTCATAGCAATACTACACATTGATAACCCACATCTATGCAGCACTGTTTCATTTTCAAACAGCGCACTGCTGCCAAATGGACATGCAAAAGGAGTTGTTTTCTTTTTGATCATGTTTTGCATGACATTTATTGCAAAAGCATGACTTGGGGGGTCCCGATTTGCAAGAGCACATCCAGCGTCCAGTGTTTGCAACAGCTGTGGGCAGAAAACACATGACCTCTCCCATTGGCACTCATGTAATTGCCAATATGTGGAGGGTTGGGGTTCTACTAAACCATGTAAATAAACACCATTTGGCCACCACGTTTCCTCATTCTTGATAACACACCTAGGAAACACAACTTAGCAGCACCCCTGATCAACCTAGCCAAAATAAACGCGCTTAGGGATCCTCTGCAATATTTTTTTTGTAATTTTGATATGCATGCAAACTTTATTAGGCTCTTTTCGCCCAAAATTTTGCTATTTGCACAGCTCTATAAATTACCCTGGCCTTGATAAGAAAAGGGTATCACATCCCTGTGGTACCTGAAAAATTTTTCTACAGCTACCCTGCAGTTGGCAACAGTGGTGTTCTTCATACCTAGTGATTATATGTTAAAACTTTCTCCAAAGGCTGTTTCAGTGTTATGTGTACTCTAAGCTGAATAAAATACTTACTTCACCCGCTCCCCCTTGAATAATAATAATAATAATTGTTGGGGTTCAGCATGCCAAAACACCGTGTAGTTATGAGAGACATTACAGTGGAGTGCTGCAAAAATTTTGACAACCCAGCTCTGGTTCTTTAATGTTCACGTAAATCTAAGCACTTCAGCCTCAAGCATTTTGCCTTCATCGAAAATGCGGCCGCTGGGGCTGAGATTTGGTCCCACGACCTACGGGCCACCAGCCGACTGCCCTAGCCACTAGATCACTGTGACAGGTCCCCCTGCTCCTTTGTTGCTAGATTTGTCCAAGAGGACATTAAGCACCTGCTCTAAGTCAAGTGCACTTCTTTGAAGCTTGAGCTCGACACAAGAACAAAGTAATCAAGGCATGAAGAAGACAACACGTTGCACTATTACCAACAACGTTTATTTTTCGGGACCCAGCCTCCCTATATGCACTGCATATGCAATAGTGAACAATGATCATGTGGTGCTAACACTATACACGTGTGCAAGGGTCACTTGCATCATAACACACAGCATCATAACAAATGATAACCACACACAAATATGAGGTCAGCATTTTTATAGTAAACTTAATTCTTTAGTTGACAATGATACCGATAGCATGCTAACGCAGTTATCGCCAAGACCATCGATATGCTCAGTTTCCATGATGAGGCAGGTGATTTCACCTTTATGATGACCGAAAATGATGGTCCTGTGAAAATTTGGCATACAGCCACGTGACTGAGTGTGGAGGGCAAGGAAACCGTCAGGTGGCAGATTTTTAGTCCTATTGTTGTGCTCCTTTGGCCGGAGGTTTACGTGTTCGACATAGTATCTCCCATAGGACAGCGGGTTGCGATATATGATGAATGCCTTGCATTCAATGAACACGTGCTTGTGAGGCCAGGTCTGGCAAAATAAACATTGTTGCTAGTAGTGCAATGTATTGTTTTCTTCATGCCTTCATTGCTCGGTTTTTTCTGTTGAGTTTGTGCTGCAAAAAAGTGCCCTGATCATCTACCTACAAGCCCAGGTTGTGACTATGGTCCAAATCAAGATGCTTCTGTTCCACAGTAGAACATCTGTGGCTCCAAAGACTGCCCCCTTATATTACGATTATGAGCAGTCATGTTTCCTCGTACAAAAGGGGAGTGAGTGTTGATGATAAATGTTTTCATTTGGTTTAGTCACAGCACTGTCTACCTATTTGGGGCAAGTTTCCATGCTGTGTTTAGGTGCCAAGCTGTCTATGGGCTGCTTAGCTTTCCTTGCTACATTCAAATGAGTCTTTGTCCCTGCAGGCTGACTCAAACTGGGCTGACAGAGAATGTTTCCAAAACACTGCGCAACCGAGACATCCATGACGAGAAGAACACAACAGCCAGCAAACGCGAGAGCAGCCATGAGTATGACTGATGCCCTGGTATGACAGGCACCCTTATGAGCACGCCAGGCCAGCCTCTCCCGATTTGGTGTCCTCGAGCGTGAAGCCATTTCCTTTTGTTCCTCTTCTCTTGTGGTGTTTCTTCATATGTCGCAGCACTTTCATAGTCTCTGTTGCCTGCCAGATGCGTTATTGTTCCTATTTCTGCTTACTGCTCACACTTGGCAAAAAAAGGAGTCTACGTGAAAAGTTCGGCCATGTAAGGCACATTGTATTCTCCCCTTATTTTCAGGGTCTTCTTTTTGTTGTTATCAATGTTATTGTTGCCCCTAAGTATAGTGAATGTGTGTTTGATGTTTATGCACTTACTGCAGTGTTCACAATATTTCTCTTCCTAACACTCTTAGACAAGATTAGCATATGCAGATGAAGTGTCAACGTTACGAATTCCTAGTTTACATTGGTGTTGCTAAAGTCTTTCTTTTTGCTCGTTCTCTCAGTGTTTTCCTCGTTTTTTCATGTCAATGTCTTGCACTCATACAGTGCATGGTATTATAATTTATGGTGCGAAGAAAATTGATAGATCCTTGTAACACATCTTTGTTTGATGCCCCCATCTGTCGAGCCAGCCAGTGTGGGAGAATATATATATATATATATATATATATATATATATATATATATATATATATATATATATATATATATATATATATATATATATGCATGTGTGTGTGTATGATAGCACAAGGCTAGACGTATGCTGCCTAGTCGTGGGCACCAATTCTAGGTGGAGGATCTCGCACTCCCTTTGTGCTTTAATCTATGTTGAGTTTACAGAGAAATAAAGTGGAAACTACTCTGTTTCCTCTCACAGTTGAATGCTTACTGATGCTGTGTTCAAAGCACCTGATTTTCTTGAGGGATCTTGGTAATGTTTTTGTCTGTAGTAGCCTCTTGCACAACAGCTACAGTCAAGTGTTTATTGAAAGCTTTATGTGGCTCATGGAGTAAAAACTATAACACCCGATGATGGTGTGAACACGAACTAAAAATGCAGGTCGATCCTGAGGTGATGTGCTGCAGAGAGCTTCAAGGATGGATTATTCCAAGTGATAATTCTTGTATAGTATGAATTAAAGAGACCCTAACCAGAAGCAATGAATTGGTTTAGATTGTATTCTGAGAATGCTAATGTCGTTAATTTCACATCATATGCTTATTATTAGCAGAAAAATCATTTTTTGATTTCACCTTGAATTCTCAGAAGCAATGAATCGGTTTAGACTCTGAGAATGCTAGTGTCATTATTTTGCAACATCATCGGCTTATTTTTAGCAGAAAATTTATTTTTTTTATTTTACCCTGAAATCTCCCTGGGTGACGTCGCGAATTTCAAAGTGTATTGATCATAGTTTGTCACCCATTGGCTCCACAAAATTTTCCGAAATTTGGTCTGTTAAATCTATACGCCCTCAAAGACGACATACTTCATTTTCACCTGTGAGAATCTACGTTGGATGCTGTCAAAACATGGCATGTCATGGTGAGAAAACTTAAGGCGGAGTCGTCACCCACATTTTGTTTTTGCTCCTTTTCTCACTTACTATGCGTCTACTCGCTATAAGTGTAGTGTTTTTGGTACTGTGATTGAGTACTTTAAATACACGAGAAAGATCTTTTTGCTATTTTGTGTCGCTCTAACAGTGACTCAGGTGTTCAAGGGAATTAACTTAGCAGGGGTGTGCACATTAATCGAAGTGCATTCACAGCAAATCGAGTGTAATTTAATGAGAACATAAGGTTTTTCCTTGGCCAAAAACACTGCAAATTTCTTTCATTCAGTGGACATAGAACACTACATGGAACACTTAACTTTCCTATTCTGACACACTATAGAGCAGTGGTTCTCAGCTATGGATTACCCCTGGCAGCGTGCCTTTTATTTACACCTGGCAAAACATGGTCAAACTGAAGTTCTATACCAATTCGATCTCAACAAGTGTTGCGCTCAACAGCCACATTTAACCTGTTTTTAGCTGTGTCTAAGTTTAAACTATGCAAGCCTGGAAGAAGCATGCTGCACATATGTCGTAGAAAACTGCAACATAGGCTTTACAGCCATCTCATCATGAATTGAATGCGAAAGTTGGCTTCGTCGCTATGCATGTGTTGTGCAGTGAAGCAAATGTTGAATCGGAAAGGGCTGCTGTTTCTGAGCATAGTGCGGCTTCAAAAAAAAAAGTCCCCCCCCCCCCCCCGCAGCAGCTTTGCAGACACCACCGATTTGAGGACCACTGCCATAGAGGATTACCTGTAGCTAAGAAGAGGTGCAAGCAGCATCTGAAGCAAAGTTGTGTCACGCATAACGTGAGGTTACAGACTGATTTTCAAGGAAAAATAATCCCAACATATGTAGCCACATTTGGTGGGACATGGTTTTTTTTTTTTGCCTTTTTTTTTTGTTTTCTTAGCCTAGCTAGTTGTTTCGTGTTGCTTGGTATTTAAAGTGGGCAGAGGTGTTGCAAGTACTACATGTCGGCATTTCATGTTGGTCACTTATTTCTTGGTGCACGACTCTGTGCACCTTCAGTGGGTGCAGGCCTCTCCTCTGAATGGTGGCATGTGTGACCAAGTACTTCTACTACGTGACACTATAGCAAAACCCAGTTATAGTGAACTGGTTCATATACTAAAAATTGTTCGACACCCAGGTTACCTTGTGTGCTGGAGACGCCTCTTATTCATGTCTTGCACCACTTACATGAAAGATTCATTTGTTGCGGACAAAACTACCTACATGATTTAGTATGCAATAATTTTGGTGTGTAGCTTTCACATTTGCAGCATCCTCGATAATAGCATTTTCAATGTGTGACATTGTATAAAATTATCGTGGGCTATTTCCTTCAACATTGGCCTTCTCAATGCAAGACATTGCAATGAAAGCAGCAGGACATTATGATCTCAATTGAATTATCAGTTGTGTTGATCTCATTAGGTTTGAACATGCTGTCAAGAATTCTCAGCCACTTGATTAGGAAAAAGCTTGCATTAGTGGTGCATGGCTTGAGATACAGTGGAGCTGGTCGGACAATAGCCAGTCCTGGCCTTTCAATGTTTTGTCAAGTATTGCGAGGTTATGCTAAGTTTTAAAGAGTCGGCCTGCCTGTAGTGCTACATGGCATAGTGTTCAAAAAAGATGTGAATGAAGAAAGTGTGACTGGACATTCCTGGTCCCTGTCTTTGCTGTGTTCTTTCACCATATGCTTTGGTTTACCAAGTTAATTCACTCTCTCTGGCTTGATAGATGTCAGAGGGGAGTGCAGCACTGCTGGGGCTCATCCACTCGAGCCATGCGCCAGCTAGCCGGCCTTTCCGCCACGTGTTGCTAGGCAACGACGCTTGGTTTAAGATAGGTCTCTAGAAAAAGTTTTGCAGTTTTGTGATTTTGGCTTGTAGGGCTTAGGTTAATTTTAACTTTAAAATAATGAAAGTAAGGAAATTGTGAAAAATATTAAAGTAAAAATGCACCAAAATATGCATGTTCCACTAGTAGTCATAACTACAAAATGGTCAATGCGATTCAAACGTGACTTGGCAGGTACATAGCAAGGACAATATCTTGTTTATATAACCTCCACGATTGCCACATCTGTAAGCTAAAGTGGGCTATCTTAAAAAGGCTTTGAAAATCAGCCAGTTTGTATTGCACAAAGTTGGCTGTAGTACAGAAAAAGATACTGCTTGTTTTCAATTATTCTGTTTGACTTCTCAATTCTGCCTATAAAGAAATAGCATGCAAAATTTTATGTGAAAATATTTCTTAGAAGAAACATTATCACTTTGGCAAATGGCTTCAAGATATTTAACTAAATATCCATGTAATTCAGAAACATTCAGTATGTCTGAAATTCACCAGGCTCTCAGCTTGGGTCCTCCTTTGAATCTCCTGTTGAGGGAGGTGAAGCACATATTCCTTGACAACATTTCTTTACAGCACTCTGGAAGTTACAGAACCAAAATGCATGTGTGTGCTACTGTGACAAAAATAGCACTCAAGTTTTCTGAAAATTTTCACATCTGCCTTGCTGAAATAAATACTGCTTTATTTATTATTAGGCTCAAATAGTTGTGTGAGTTTGTTTGTGAAATACAGTCATTGTTCACTTTGCAAGTAGGCCTTTTTCTTTTTTCAATTTCCTAGACAGCACCAAAAGTGTGGTGCACGTTTGTTTTCCAAAGTAAACATGTTGTTTATCATGTAGTGGATCAGTCTGCAGCGGCAAACGTGCTGTTTAGTTCTCCGAGAAAATGTGCTCATAACAGGACACAGAAGTGTACACTGAACAATCTGAATACTTCCTCATTTTTCGTGGATATGTTTTTCGAGACGCATTAACAATACAAACGACCAAACCAAAGTCACTCATCAGCCAGCTACTGTGCGGACAAGCCTCATCTCTGTAGTGCTCGTTTTGCGTCTCCAGCTGACTTTTATCCACGTCTCTAGCACCACGCAATGTTACTGTTGTGTTGATCTAATGTTGTCTTTTAAACCCCTGGCACCAAGTTTGGAAATAGGCGAGTTGTTTGATAGTCCGGCATGCATAGGCACTTCTGACTAATTATTTATGAGTGACAAACATCGCCTTAAAGGGCCCGGCCCTCACCAGGTGACGTAATGAATTTTAGTTAGGAATTATGCCACAACAATTTTTCGAATCGGTCATGAGAATCTGAGAAAACAGAAAATCGATGTGTCTTGAAGGCGCACGAAGCCATGATGCGAGAAAACCCTTGCCGCTCGCCCCATGTAGCCTTTGCGAGCCAAATCCCCTCCCTGCCCTCCTTGGGAAGTGAGGATCACACAGTGCTTATGCTGATGTCATTCGTATAAGGTCTAGAGCGCTGGAGGCACGTGCGCATGAGCCCACCCCTAATTCACTGCCCCAGACTCCATTACGAGGCTGTGCACTCATCGGTTCGTGTGTCGGGTGGGAGCCCAGCTGTTGCTGCAGACAACAAAGTGAATGCTGGGACGCATACTGGCAAACCGCCTCTGATGAATGACTTGAACAAGCAGTATAATATAGTTAGTGCTACCGAGCTGCTACAGAAACGCTGTGCGCACGCCTATGTCTACACTGCGCTACGCTGCTGTAAGACGCATTGCTCTGTTGCAACAATCATGGGAAGCATCGAAGTGAACTCGGATATCCTGCGATAAACAAGAGGTGACAGTGTAGTAAGTTGATTTGTTGACTATGTAACAATAATCGTAACTTGGTGAGCCTTTGTTGCAGCTCAAAAAGAGCCGATGTCGGAAAATTGGAATGCCTACGTCATATATGTCTCACACAATTAACATCTGTTGGCTCAGCTTTCACTCACTCAGTCATATCTTAGGCCACTCGTAGTTTACGTGTACATTGCTTGCATGGTGCCTATTGCTTTTTGTGGAAATTTTTTTAACATTTATATTAGGTGTTGTAAAATAATCATTTAGGAAATCTTGAATAAATATGTATTGTTTATGTTTTATATTCTATGTGCATGTCATGTACTTGTAATCATTT